AGCCTTCCCCAGACTCCAGGACTGGCCCAGGTTCCTCCCCAACCTCCTCACTCTCTGAGTCTGCCACCAGCTCCGCTGGCGGGCCACAATAGTTATATGCACCAAAGTTCTTTTATCCACTTGGTATATATAAACGTATATAAAAAATCCAGGTGCCGCCTTCCTTCCTTTGGATGAAGTTGAAAACGACACATTTTTATTTAGCTTAAAAGATGCTGAACCAATGAGGCAACATAAAATCGATTATTTTTTTTAATCAGCACATTTTGGGAGGGAAAAATTACAGAGGGATATAGGGACTTCTCAACTTATGACCACAATTGGACCTTCTGTTGCTAGGCGAGGCAGCTGTTCACTGTGTGGCTCCCAATTTTATACCTTTTTTTTCTTTTCTTTTTTTGCTATGGTTGTTCAGTGAAACACTACAATTGTTAAGGGAAGTACATGGTAATAAATGAAGTGGACTTTCCCCATTGACTTTGGACCCGGGGCACGCAAGTGGTGGATGAGCGAGCATGTGTGCACAGTTCCACACAAGGGATGGGCATTTTGCACAAGCGGTAGGCACACAGATATGCACACACACACACACACACTCGCACACAACCACCCCCTAGCACACACACACACACCCCATTCCACTAAGACACTTCAGTGACTAAAAATACTTTACCCAGAGTTTTGAGGATGAGGGTGCAGTGCAGGGTGAGAAAAATTGGCGCCAGGTATTGGAGGCTGACGACGGTTACATAGCAGTAGATTCTGGTGATCTGGAAATAATACAAAAAAATGAGACTTGAGATCTGGTCATCTAAAGTCTTAAGTAGCAAACCAGATAAAGGTAGCCCTCCACTTACGACCACAATTGAGCCCCAAAGTTTCTGTTGCTAAATGACTTTTGCTCCATTTTACGACCTTTCTTGCCACAGTTGCTAAGTGAACCACTGCAGCTATGAAGTCAGTAACACGTTTTTGTTTCTTTTAAAGTATGTTTTCACACTTATGACTGTTGTACTATCCCCGTGGTCACCTGATCAAAATTTGGAGGCCTGGGAACTGTCATGTATTTATGAGAGTTTTAACCTTTTTTGCATCGATGTATTAAGTATTTAGGAAATTTATAAACAGAAGCATAGAATCAAAATCACCTGAAGTATTAGTACCGCTTTATAAATCCTTAGTAAGGCCACACCTGGAATACTGCATCCAGTTTTGGTCACCACATTACAAAAAAAGATGTTGAGACTTTGGAAAAAGTGCAAAGAAGAGCAACTAAGATGATTAAAGGCCCGGAGACTAAAACATATGCAGGATTTGGGTTTGGCTAATCTAGAGGAAAGAAGGATTGGGGTAACATGATAGCAGTATTCCAATACAATACAATACAATAC